ACATGATTTTAAAGCCTCAGAAACCCAATGGAGGGTCAACGATGATTTAGTTCTGACTTGACAATAAGAGAGAAAATCATCATTTTCATCTTGAGCAAGAAAGACAACCAAAAATCTTACTCTGACAGCAGTATTTTGCTAATAAGATATAAGCAAGGAATTATTTTGATCTGTTTCTGTCCTGTGTTACACACAGTCTTAGAATCACAGTAGAAAACCCATGATGCATACTGATACACAGAGAAATGAAACGGACACTCAGAGGCCTCGAATGTGAAAAGTGTTACTGATAAGCTGAAAAGCACTGGCTGTTTGGAGAAGTTCACTAAATCTAACTGCATCATATTGACACTGGAGCCAATGCTAACTACAAACCAAATAGAATGGATTCAGTGCGTCCCACCTGGCTTGATGTCTCAATGTGTCCACACTCCCAAGGCAACAACAGGAGACCTGAAGCTTTTAAGAAGTTATGTTTCTGGGCTCTAAGTGAAATTCTTTCATTTCTCCTTTCTTTGAACATCCTTATAAGGATTAAAAGAGATGATCACAAGCTACTTGAATACAGACACTTGTTTGCTTGCAATATACTTCCAAAGGGACATGCAGGAAATTTAAATAAATTGTTGCATTAACAAAATCCCACTGAATTTCTAGAATATTTCATCTGTGACCAGAGATATCCAAAGATTGTCATCAGTAATAAAGAACTAAAAGCAGGATACCTGATTAATGCTTACTAACAAATAAACATAGGTATTTCACCATAAAAGGTCCAGAAATAATACAAGAAATTTAGAAAAGAGATAAAAGGGGGAAAAATTTATAGCCATCAATCATTATGCAATCATTGATTTTGATGTCAATCACTCTTTTTCTTATTAATGGGGAAAAGTATTTTTAAAATGAAAATATATTTATTGTTGGAATTTTTAATGTATCATCAGTATCAAGATATCTTTCATTTCCAGTATAATCAAGTTTAAACATAAGATTGCAAACCCACTTCCCTCAAGCAGATTCCTACTCATGGCAATCCTCCATGAGATTTCAAAGTCTTCATAGGAGGCAGCCTTATCTTTCTCCTGGGGAATAGTTGGTGGATTCCAACTGTTGACCTTTTGGTTAGAAGCTCAACACATAATGCACTATGCCACCTGGCTCCTTAAACTTATGACTTGCTCTGGTGAGTTGAGTATGAGATGAGGTAGCAAATGATCTCTTTCTCATTGTCATTGAACTAGAATCAACCCACAGCTGACCCTCCAGCAAGTTTTCAGAGGATGTAAATCAAATGGGAGGAGATTGTCCATCTTTCTCCCAGGAGCTGCTGGTGAATTTGAGCTGCCAGAGAAGCATGGCCTTTGGGTTAGCAGCACAACTCTTTCCATACTATGCCATCAGAGCCTCATAAATAGCACTTGCAGCAATTTTTGCCACTTAATGTTTGCTTCTCATAGACTTGCACACTATCCAAGCAGTTTGTTTCCACCCTTTCCTTATATGTACTGTTAATACAAATATTTGGTATAAGCTTTGGGACATGATAGACATGACTTGAGTATTTCTTGTTGTGTTATTATTGCTTTTGGGTTTTTTAGTAGACTTGGTAATATAAATAACCCCAAAGTTATTAATTACAGGAGTATCTAGTGCTAACTCTTTCATATCATGGCCAACAAAATATGTTGTACAACAAAATTGTGTATGATAGAAATTATCCAGTGAAGTGTAGAGGGAACTGGTAGAAGTTATTGAAAGCACCTGGATTCTTGAAAAACTATTGAAAACGTAGTCTGCTTTTCAGAGTTGCTGGTTTTCCTGTAGTGACAAATCAGTTTGCCTCTTTTGAAGGGATGCACTAAAAAATTAATTACCTGTCCTGATAGCACCACTTTTAGCAGATTCCCTTCAATCCCCTGCCTTGCCTCAGACAAAATGAGAATTGTCTGTGTGTGACCTTTGTTCCTCAGGGCTCACATAGTGAATGAATTTATTAACTCAAGTCCAGGGAACTGTTACCAGGGGAAATGCTTTTACCACTCAGAGAAAGGGATGTAAAAAGTAGGAATTTATCCATTGGAGGTCCTCCTTTTGGTCAACTCACTGCAAATGTCCATACTCTAGGGAAATTAACCCTTGACATTTCTATTCTTATACTAAGTACTTAGCATTGTGTGAAAAGGTGACTGATAGCATAAGCTTAAGGGCTTACCTTCTAACTCAACAAGTTGTTAAATCTACCATCCACTCAACAGGAAAAAGATGTGAACGTCTGCTTCCATAAAGATTAAAAAAAAAACAAACCTCAAAAGTACTACTGGTGAGTTGGTCCCCACCTCATTTTTCGAAGGCAGTAAATGGTAAAGAGCCTATCTTTCTAAATGGTAAAGAGCCATGGAGTTGCTCGTGGATTTGAATAGTTGAAGACGTTCAGCCTTTTGATTAGTAGTGCAATTCACTATGGACAACAGCCACCAGAACTCCCCTGTGTTAAGTTATAACCTTGGAAACACTATGAAGCAGTTCTAGTCTTTCATGTAACATCACTGTGGGTCAAAATGACTGGACAGAAAAGAGGATTTTTTTTGAGGGGGAATACCATCAGATATTATAATTGAGAAGAAAAAAGAAATTTGAATACTTAGCTTAATGCCTTCTGTGTTGGAAAATAAATTATATATTGCATGTTAGGAAATCTTGAATTCTTTTTAAAAAATTCTCCCTCTAATCTACATTATGTAATTAATGTTAAATAATCAGATTATGAATATTTCTACAGATGAATCTTGGCTGAAAGCAGGAGTACCAGAGAAATGTTTATCTGTATTTCATTGATTATGCAAAGTTCTTTGACTGTGTGGATCACAACAGACTGTGACTGACTCTGAGAAGAATGGGAATTCCAGAACATTTAATTGTGCTAATGCGAAATCTATACTTGCACCAGGAGGCAGTCATCAGAACAGAGTAAGGAAACATTGCATGGTTCAAAATTGGAAGGGTGTATTCCAGGGATGTGTCCTATCTCCATAACTTTTCAATCTATATGAAGCACAGATTATCTGGGAGGCTGGGCTGTATGATGAGAAATGTGGCATCAGGATTGGAGGAAGATTCATCAACAATCTGCATTATGCAGATGATACAACCCTACCTACTGAAACTGAGGAGGACCTGGAGCTCTTGCTGCAGAAGGTCAAGAACTGAAACCTTCAATATGGATTGAGGCTCAATATCAAGAAAACAAAGATTCTCACCACAGGGCCAATTGGCAGCATCATGATGGATGATGAAGAGATTGAGACTGTTAACAGCTTTAGTTTGCTTGGCTCCCCAGTCAACACTCTTGGCACCAGCAGGCAGGAAATCAAAAGACGTATTGTGATGGGAAAGTCTGCTCTTAGGGACGTCTTCAAAGTGCTGAAGAGCAATGGTGTCACTCTGGAGATGAAGGTGCACCTGATAGAGTCCATGGTCTTTGCAATCACTTGCTGTGTCAGAGAGCTGGACAATGACTAGGGATGACAGAAGGAGAATTGATGCCTTTGAGCTATGGTGTTGGATAAAGGTATTGAATATACCATGAACTGCTGGGAAAACGAACATGTTCAATATAGAGAGGGTTAAACCAGGCTGTTCCTTGGAGGCAAGGATTCTGAAGCTCCATCTGACATATTTTGGACATGTTGCAAGGAGGGCCCAATCATTGGGGAGATAGAGACATCATGCTTGGGAGGGTGGAGGGACAGTGCAGAAGAGGAAGACTATGAGATGGATTGACTGGGATAATTGGAGTAGGTGTGTCGGAGACAGTAAGATTCGCACAGGATAGAGCAGGGTTTAGGGCTGTTGTACATAGGGTCGCTAGGAGTTGAAGGTCACTCAATGGCACATAACAACAATAACAACATGTACAGAACCACTCAACTTGATTCTGATTTTAGTCTTTGAACTGTGTGTTGGATTTGTGAGTGGTTTTTGGGTTTTATTTCCATTTCCAAGCGGTAACATGTCTCCATAAAGTCCTCTGTTAACATAGTAGAAAATTAGCTATATTTCACACCCTATAGTGAGAGAATGCATCACTGCTTTCAGTATTTCTAGCTGTTTGAGTCGCAACAATCATTTCTTCAACTAAAGATTTAGGGAGATAATGAAAACATTTACAGTGTAAAGTTTTATAGCTTGTCATACTGAAGTAGTGTTTCTTGTATTTTTAAAGCTTTCTCTCCATAATAACATTGAGACCTTAATATAAATGTTTTAAGGGAATGAGATAGAAAAAGAAATGCCAACAGTATGTCATTAAATTTTGGACTTTAATACTTTCTTTTGCCACTAAGTTGCTGTTTTCATTAGTCTTTGTTTATAATAATTGAAATTCATTGCTATCAAGTCCAAACAGACTGATAGTTTCAGAGGCTATAAATCACACAGGAGGAGACAGCTCATCTCTCTGTCATGGAGCAGCTGGTGGATTCAAACTGCTCACTTTTGAGTTGGCAGTGCAGCTCTCTATCCACTATGCCACCACAGCCCCTATTATTATAGCTCTCCAAATCACAATCAAATGACTCCAAATTTGAAAGAAATGAAAATATAACTCAAGGACTTGCCCTTAACTCAAGGGCAGTTGAAGATTGTTTGGGCACCACTTGTTTCATTGAGACCATTTTTCCTCTCTCCATCTTTTTTAGGAGATAGCAACTAAATAATGTCATTTATTTTTAAAGGCTATTTTTTCTGGGTACTTTTAATAAATGTTTTGGTGATTTCGGGGAATCAATTTTATCTTAACAGAAACTTTAAAACATAGAAGATTAAAAAAAAAAAACCCAACAAAAAACCCCAAAACACAGATTGTATCTTCAATATGATGTCTTCCAGAGTCCCCAAAGAGAAAAAATAATGACTTTAATCAGCAGAGGATGAGTAGAGAAGTGTCCTATCACTCTTTATGGTTTCTAAGCACTAACTGCCAATGTTTGTTGTTGTAGGTAGAATACTTCTATGAATTCCTGTCCTTGCGCTCCTTGGATAAGGGCATCATGGCAGATCCAACTGTCAATGTCCCACTGTTGGGAACAGTGCCACACAAGGCATCAGGTAGGTGGTCTTCTCTTGCAGAAAATTTGACACAACTTAATAATTATGAGAGTAATACTCAAGATTCAGATGTCATCTATCAGAGGTTATAGACTGTTTCCCTGAATAAGTGTTTTAGTTGTAAAGCAGCCCCGGTGATATTTTGTACATCCTTAGGTCAAAAAATTATGACAGTTGTCAAGAAATGATCATTTTTTAATTTCCTGAAAACTCAACCTCAAACACATCCAGTTCATCAATTACTTAACAATGTGTGTTTTTAATTATGTTAAGCGAGATATAGCTGGCCAATAAATGTGAGTTTATGTTTGTTGTTGTTGTTTTTATGTGCTGTCGAGTCGTTTGTGATTCATAGCGACCCTATGTACAACGACCCTAAACCCTGCTCTATCCTGTGCCAACGGCACTGCCTCTGACACACCCGTTCTGATAACCCCAGTCACTGAATCAATCCATCTCATAGAGGGTCTTCCCCTCCTGCGCCGTCCCTCCACCCTCCCAAGCATAATGCCCCTCTCCAAGGACCTGTCCCTCCTTGCAACATGCCCAAAGTATGTCAGACGAAGCCCCAGAATCCTTGCCTCCATGGAGTAGCTTGGTTTAACCCTCTCGAGGATGAATCTGTTTGTTTTCTTGGCAGTCCAGGGTGCATTCAATACTCTTCTCCAGCACCACAGCTCAAAGGCATCAATTCTCCTGTCCTCCCTAGTCATTGTCCAACTCTCTGATGCATAACAAGTGATTGCAAAGACCATGGCCTGTATCAGGCGCACCTTAGTCTCTAGAGAGACAC